GCCCCGGGGGGGCACCCGGCCACCTGCCTGCTGCTCGTTCTCGCGTAATTAATAACGTTTCATCAACCCTCCGTGGTGGTTGTACAGTGTACACGATGGAATTCGTTGGGAGATTCATTGATCGATACCGAGTATCTCGCTTTTTTTTTAACATAAAACATAACATACAGGGTACAATCTTTATCTACCGCATTATTCTTTAATGACAAATTCCTCTGCGGCAGCACCAGGTCAATTTCTCCTTGAGAAAATTATTACTCGTCCCGAGCCTGATTCACGGATGCACCCTTAAAAAAAAAAAGAGGAAAAAAACAAGATCGGCCCTTGCAATTCTGAGCCTGACCTTCGTACGGATCGACCGTTCGGTGCAGGGCCCGGCCAAGTTCCGGCAGGATATTACTTCCAAAATCTAATTATGAGATCTTTATAGGGCAATCGTAAAACAGCCGAATAATAAAGGAGTTCGTAGCGCTTGAATCCGCAGAGGGCCTCGCTGCGTTTCTCTTCGATACATATAATAGAAGATCTATGTGTATCTTGGATAGGCCCCGTAAAATTGAACGACGAAACGTTTAGAAAGCTTCAGCTTCGAAGGACGTACCACAAAAATTGGTTCCTCCATCGGCACTATATCTAGCCCCCTAATGGAACCATCTATTCCGGATACATAAATACCAGCCATCGAAGATACAAAGCAATATAAAAGGCTACGATTTATGGCCCGATTTTCCATGCCAACTTTGGCTTTCGATGAATCGCAATTAAATATGGTATACGTCACGAGAATCGTATTCTAAAAAATCGGCAATAAAGAATTGCGAAAATTAATAGTGACAGCAGTTATCTATTTTTTTTTTTGACGTTCGGCATAGAGAAATATATCGCAAAACACAGAGACATTACACAATCGTGATTTCACGTTTCGGAATCAAATTTCCAGAATGAAATTTTGCGAACGACTTTTGTGAATGCGCGAGACGATACTTGTCGCGAGGCGACAATGCGTCATTACCATAAACGCCGGGGCCCGTCGTAATGAGATGTGACGTCACGACATGGCGTCTGCAGGTGAACGAGCAGCGCGAGACGCGGCGGTACCGTAGGTGAGCGCATTCGCTAGTCGATCCGATTGGCCGAAGGGGGAATCCCCGCCCTTGCGCCGTTTGTGCACACCGACGAGCCCGCGAATCCCCCCAACCCTCTCCTCCCACCTTCACCCCTTTCGCGCGACTTCTCCGCGAGAGCCTCTATCTTTTTCCCCCTTTCGCTGCTCTCCTCTCTTTATCCGTTCTTCGTTTCTCTTCTATCTCCCCGTTTCCTTTTCCCTTCCACGCACGCTGCACGGGCAGCGCGTCGTCGTGCCTGCGATAACGCACCCACACGCCAACACACCCCACGCGCGCCACACACACACACACACACACACACACACACACACGCACTGGTATCGCACACAAATTCTCAGGTGGAGACCTGTTTACACCTATACCTGTGCAATGACATGTACAGTGTCTTCGCGACAGAGATCCCCCCCCACTGGTATTAGATACACACACACACACATCTCTCTCTCTCTCTTTCTTCCTTTTTTTGCACCAAAATTGATCGGCGCTTACTCAACTGCACGCACGCTCTCGCGCTCTACATAGATGTAATTAGTATGATTAACGCATCGCGAAAATTCAAAAAAAAAAAGAATTAAAATCGCACGAAGCGAGAGTACGTCCGTGTCTCGCGTAAATTGGAACTTTATAAATTTCACTTATACGACTAGCACGCGACTGTAGATAATAATTTACAACTGCAATTATGCATTAAATTCCCAAAGAATATAAAACAAGCATAGATAGACGAAGGCCATATAGAGTCCAGTGTCGTAAGGTGAGAATTTAAGAAACGAAAATGCTGAAGCATTTATAAGTACAGTCATTTTGCAAATAATTACCAAAAAAGTATTAAGTATAGCTATTACTGTTAATAACCGAGAAAAGCGGGAACGTTAGGTATATGTATATGGAAAATAGGAAATTTAATCTCTCATCATATCACCTATATTTACATAATTACTTTTAGGTAATTATATGCATTTAGAGATCAATCTCCTTTGGCTTTCATTTCTAAATTAGATCTGATCTCAGTATAAATCTGTTAAACGTAATACCTACATATAGACATATATGACTTGAATAGAAATCCATTCATCAATTTAAAACTAACTTTTCTTGAAAAAAGAAATGTCTAACTCAAATATTCATAAAGATGAAAATACAGTTGCGAATTTTTAAAAACTAAATAAATAAAAATTAGTACGATATTACTAAAAAAAAAGTGCATATAAAGATAAAAAAACATAATTTTACAATAAAAGATTATCATCAGACGACAAATAAAATAAAAATTTAAATTATAGTTTTTGAATTTCTTAATCTTATCCGCTTTTACACATTCAAATCTCAAGGTTTAAATTTTTTTAAATATTTAGATATATTGTATCTAAAAATTATTTCATATAATTCAAAATAATGCAGAAAACAATCTACTATAAAAAAAATTTTTTTTAATTGACATTGATACATCCTTCACCCTTAAATAATAAGAGCAATTGTCACGAAAACGAAATACACAATGCGCCCAATTAACTTTTAAACACCCGTTAATGTCGGAAAGTCATGATGAAAATCAGTAAACATTCGTGCTCTCCTACAGGTTTCAAATAAATTGCCGTTATTAATATAAATTACAGCAATTATTCGCCCCGTGCACGAAACACTTAATATTAGGTTTCACTATTACTCTGATTCTCCTTTCATTCGAGCTGCTTATAAATAATTCAAAATGTAGATTTAGATATGTCAAAAAGTCGAAAATTTTAATTGCGCACAAAGTGATATGATTCTTATTGTAAAATTAGGCTGTCGGCCTAATTTTAAAATATATTTGTATATTACGAACGATAATCGCTTCGATCCCTTGCCAGCGGTGTCGCGTTACCAATTTTAACGCAAATAATACTAAAGGTTATTTTTCCGATACGTGGTTTTCATGTTATATCGGTCGTTAAATTTCACTGATAAGACTCGATAACTTTCTCAGTAAATAAAAAGCCAAGGTTAAAAGATTATAAAAATCGCAAACATTAACAAATATGAATACATACAAATTGCATAAACCAATAAGTTGTTATATATTAAATGTATGATAAAAAGTTGCTAACGAAGCAGAATTTACATATGTACAAATAACAGCTAAGGAAGATCCGCACGGGTAGACCTGTTTTTTTCTGTTTTTTTCCCCTAAGATTTTGACGGATGCTTTTTATAAATATACCGAAATGTGAATTTCACGAAGCAGAAATAATCAAGGGTATAAAACACATATTTAATGTGAAGGAAAACATTCGCCGAGTGAGCGCGTGCTGCGAGATTGGCGTTGTTTGTAAACTAATATTGCTTTACCAGCGCACGAGCGTCTTTTCTACGTATTTCGACGGCGATTACGATCACACGGATATTAAACTCAAACCTATTGAAAATCTTACAAATATATTACGTAGTACCAGACTTTAATTCCGCGATTGTGCAAAATAATAAATGTGTGTAAAAGATTTCCTGCTATAACTTATTACATTCATATACATTTTTATATCTGTCTACAAAAAATATAAAAGTCTCCTATGCAATAATATAAGTAATAAAACGCCGATATTTTCATATATAAAAAATTTCTTTATATCTTCGTAACATTCTTGCCTTTTGTAGATTGTGTAAATTTATGCTAACGCTTAGTAATTTTTCAATAAGTTTTACTTTATATGTACACATATACTGCAAATCCAAGTGTGTAAATCTGTAGTCACATTTTTACGCATTTATATTTTCACACATTTTATCTGTGTTTTACACAGTTAAATGCATATTTTTACACGGTTAATTTTACAATAATATGTGTAAGCATGTAAAAAATATGCATTTAACTGTGTAAAACACAGATAAAATGTGTAAAAATATAACACGCGTATAAATGCGTAAAATGTGACTACAGATTAACACACTTGGATTTGGAGTATAATTATATAAATAAACGATTATATATATAAAATAATAAAAGATTATATATTTCTACGGTTTATACGTATATACACGTATTTTCGATATCCAATCCTGGAGCATTCAAAAAAAATGCGAACGGTCAGCCAATCGACCAATCAGACGACGCATATATTATATCCGACATTCTCGATATATTATATTTACCGACTCTTTCCCTATAGTTCTCTGTAGTCCGATTCTCCACAATTTTTAAACCTCGATCGGCTAAATCATTTGCGTCCGTTTTTACTGAAAGGTCGTCTGAATTTAGGAAGAAAAGGATATCGACTTTAGGTACATGAATTCCTTTTTCAGGAATCAGAGAACTCGGGAAAGAATCGACAAATACAATATATCGAGAAAAGCATCTAACGCATCATCGTCGTCTGATTGGTCGATTCTCCACAATTTTTAAACCTCGACAGATCCGATCTCAAGGCTGTTCAAAACCGCATGAATATCGTATCTAGCAATTTTGGTCTTTGGTGAACCAAATCACTATGGATTTATATTTCGTCTCTAAAAATAGCAAAGATTTTGAGGCGTAGGTATTTTTTGACATATGTTTGTTCGACGAGAATCCAGGTAATCCGTCATAATTTTAAATCGAGAAATGCAAATAGACTATAAATCGTGCGACCGTGCGTTACTCTCGCAGCGATAAACAGAAGTATACTATTCAAAAAGGAACGTTAAAGTGACGCGGTGGATGTGTAGCGATTAAATTAACCTCTATCCGACCGAACACGCGTTTTTTTTCAACACTATTAACAATGAGACACGTCGTTACGTATCAAACATCTCGTTGTTTATACGCATCAATTTGGCGGTATTTACACGCGGCAAATGTGGAGCACTAAGGCATCCCGACAGAGAGCCGGCGCTTGTGTATAGGCATGAAAGAAAACTTACCAAAGAACCTTCCGGCGTCTGGTGCGAACCATTGGCTCCATTTGTCCCATTTGTTCCATTGGCGCCGTTGGCTACGGTTCCTCCGCCCGTATTCTCCATGTCATGCTCGTCGGCTGGGTCCATCGCGTAGGATGGCTTCGGATCACCCTTCACCCGAATTTTGGCTGTTTTACTGCGACGCGTTGATTTACGAAACTAGCGTTCGCGCGCTATGGGAAATTCGCGAAATTCACGGGGGGAGGCCTCTACCGTACGCAAATGCGTTGCGTTTTCTCAAATACGGTGTGAATATAGCCGGAGCGTCGCGCGCGCGCGCGCGCGTGAACCAGATACGGTAGATAGTGTGTTCCGCGCCGCAAGTGGATATAAAGTTCCCGTCGGACAAACTCACACGCCTCGGATATATTCGCGCGAGGGAGGATTTTATCAAAGTAACGACACTGCGAGCAAACGGTCACGTCGAACGACCGCGAGCTCAACGATCATGTCTCTGCACAAAGTTTCGTCGCACTCTCGTCGCCTCTTCCTCTTGCTCTTCTTCTCTTCCGCGTCGTTTCCTCTTCTCCTTCCTCACACCCGCTCCGCGGAGCAAGCTTTGCTCTCGTGTGCTCCTAAAGCGCGCGCGCGCAGCAAAAATACGCGCACAACACAATTGACTTCTACGAGATGCGTATCGAAAAAAAAAAGAGGACGATGCCGTACGGAGAACGAACGAAATGTACGAACGTACAGGAGAGCAATTTCGGAGATCTACGACGACGCCCGGATTACAAAGTAATGACGGGATAGATGGAATGGGATTCAAAAGGAAGACTAGAAGGACGAGGAGACAAAGAGAAGGAGCAGGCAAGGGAGAAAGGGAAATTGAAGGAAATAGCTCGATATGATCGGTCGAAATGGGAAGAGAGGGGATAAATTCAGCTCGATAGAATCGAAGGAGATGGCGATTGGCGATGCGCGCAAGCGTTGCGGGGGAGGGAAGTGTGGGGGGTGAGAGGAGCGTCCGGACGTACCACACGCGCGACAAAAGATTTTCGATGCGGTAATTACCGACCGATTTCGTTCCGTTCGTGAGAGATCACGGGTTTTACTGGCTCGACATCGACGCGACTCGGCGACGCGCGTTACGCGAACAGCACACGCCAACGGATCAGCTGGCTTGCGTGGGATCCACAACGCCGGCACGCAGGAACGACAAACAACGACCGACGCGCGCGCTCTCACGTACTATCGCGTTCTGAAGGCTACGGGGACGCCGGGGATTCGGAGAGACCGGATTCCAAAGCCGCTGAACCCCTTCTTCTTCGCAACTTCTACCCCCACCAGCACGCATTTATGCAGCGCTGCGCCCTACGTGGAGGAGGGTCTTGTGATAGACGCACGCGTGCGAACATCGGAATCAGGTAGGCGGCAGCCGAGGGCAGGCACGCCCGCTACCATATACTATACGTGGATTTCTGTCTCTCTCGATGAAATTCTTGATTCTTTCTTCTCGGTTTCCCGCGTTTTTTCCTTGTGACATTTATACTCTTGCTAACTTTCCGCAGGACGAACTTGTAAATCATCACGAAAAACGCCGTCGAATTTTCTGAAAAATAAAATATCGTTTTTTTTTTATTTCGATGTTATACAATTCGACTCAAATAATATATATAATTAAAATTATCGGTTATTTATGATACTTTTCTGCAAAAATCAAATACTTATGTGACAGCAAAAATTATCGTCACTATGAGTATTTAGTAGATTTGTGTCAAATATTAACAAAATTTCAAGATATCGTATTATTCAACAATGTTTGTATTTTTATACAGTATTATAAAAATCTGAAAAACAGGGACAAAAAATATAGAGATTCGAACTTACAAGCAAAAAAGTTCTCAGTTCTTTATTTCAGTGTACAAGAAAAGATAATCTTTTTAAAATTTATAACTTACAATTGAAATTTTTATACGTAAGAACACGAAAATCTTAAATTAATTCAAAAATTATGTTATAAACTATTCTTTTTGCATAATAGAAAAATGAGTTATTTTAAAAATGTACAATGTTTAACATTTAAAACTTTAAATTTAATATTATTATAAATATCTTTATATTATACCAAAGTTCTACATTATATTATATACATATAAATGTATATTTTATATACACATACACCATCACACACATATGCAGCACATTTTATCCGAGAAAGAAATAGAATTTTCTGAAAAATAAAATATCGTTTTTGTTTTCTCATTTTGATGTTATACAATTCGGATAAAATATTTAATTGATTTATGATACTTTTCTATAAAATCAATTACTTCGAGAAACTATACTATACTATAAATATTAAAAATAATTAATAAAAAAATCTAATATAAAGAATACAATCTCACAGGAAAGGAAATTTTCCATAGAGGAAGGTCTTTCGCCGACACATTCAGTTCTACTATTAATCATTCATTATGAACTACAAAGTGGCTACGAGACAATTTAATGTGATTAGTTGGATCTAAAGATAAGAATCATTCGATTTAGCCGCTTAATAAGCAATTGTAAAAAAAGAGAGAAAGAGAATATTAATTTCATCTATTAATTATTTTAAGTTTTGTAACCTAACCGCCTATATTATTATATTTATTTTATTCAGAAAGTTTGTCTCCCGAAGAATAGAATTTGACAATAATATTAAAATAAAATATATTATCAATAATATTAATAATATATATAGAATACTATAAAATTTTTTAGAGAATCTCAAAGAATATTCTTTTAGGAAAAAAAAATTTTGGTCTGACTGTCGGTCTTTTCCTTTGAAAGAGATTTTCGTCTTTCGACTAATTCCTTTTATCAGTATAACTATTGAGTTCTACACAGATTTGTAGGTACTTAGAATTCTTTGTAAATTTCTCGTACACAGGAAATACCACGGTACCAAATCCACGGTTGCTTTTATGTAGTAACCATGCATTCGAAAAATAATATGAAGCAATAATTTTCAATTCACTTGCATGCAAATTAATATCAAATAGGAAATATTACATAAAATATCCCAAGTATACGATTTTGGTAACTTTCTTATTTTTTTATTCGCGAAAGTATCGTGCATAAAATTGTCTTTAATGATTGCGCAACGTATCTATATTATCTTATGGATGTACGGTTAATCGTGAGTAAACAATTTTCTATGTTTACTCACCTGTACCCACCGTCTACCGTGTATTTCCGTTCGAATGCTGGTAAAGATAACAATAGAAATCTGAAGAATAACGTTTAAATGTCCCTTATTTTCCGTATTTTCGACATAAAATTACGGTACGAGATTACACGTGATTGGAGGCTTCAAAAGCCGTTGTTAGCGCGGGATGCTCGACGATTATTTACACGTACGCGCTATTGATAGACATAGGAAACTCCTTTCTGCATTTTCTAACAAATGTTTATGCGTACGGCGCCGCAAACCTACGATGAGTTTTTCGCTAAACACAACGGTTTTTACTTTTTATTTTATTTGTTTGCAAGTTAATATCATTTTTAATTTAATAGATATACAATTTATATTTAAAAAATATTTTTATTATTTGACTATCCAGATAGACGAAAAGATATCTTTCAGACTTTTAACAAATTTGTCTCAAGATGTCCTGTAGTTATAATTTCGAAAAGATATATTTTGAGATTATTTAGATATCTTTAATGTATCTATTAAAAATATTTTAAATATCCTTTAAGATGTCCATAGATATTTTTTAAATATATTCAAAACCTTGATCTCTAATAGCAAAATTTATTGGCACATTGACTTAATATCTTCAATGCATGCCAATGTTTAATCATGATTAATGAATTATTACAACAGTAGTACTAACGGTTCCACTATAGCTAGTACTTTTAGTAAAAGGGTTTTTAAGTATAACATGATAAATCGTTTCTCAAGTGACGTTTTGCACGAAATAGAATTTGTGCTGTTATATATAGGTATGCCAAATCTCATATAAACAGATTAATGACCGGCGTCCTTGTATTATCTATAAAGACTTATAAAGGGAAAAGATTTATATCGGAAAGAAGAAAAGACTTATACAGAACAATGAAAAGACTTAGAAAAAAAGGAACCTATAAAGACTTATAAAAAGACAATGTGAAATATCATCTGAGCGTTGACAGATGTACAAATCAATTATATTCTAATTTATATCGGAACAATCGAAATAATGTGTCATTGTATTCTACTCGATATCTTTCAAAAAAATATTATTTGAAGAAATGGATAATTTTTATGCGATCAATGTGAACGATCGTTGAGAAGAAAGACAAAGAGGGAGAAGAAAAGAAAGACGAAGAAAAAGAGACGAGTACACGGTTCTCTCCCGGTCAGTGTTAAACTTCAACTCTTTCTCGCCGCTTCGTTCTCCTCTCGACTGTGCGGGCAGTTAACACCCCGACGGCTGTTTGATCCCGTCAGTAATAAGGCCCATCTCGGGTTGTTTCGCGAGATAGCATCCTCTTCGTTTCGTACTTCTCGTTTTCCTCTCTCCTTCGCCTTCTCAGCTATCTCTCTGCCTCTTCTCGGCACTAAAGCTCTCCTTATGCAGCACACCAATTTGATTCTATCGTCCATTAAAACTAATTACATTTTTCTCGCTCATTTATCAATACCCATTATATCGCGTATCTTCACAATTACACATTTAGATTATCTTGCTTAGATGTAATTGATTGAAAAATTGTATCTTTTAAATTCCGTAATCGGTCGTCGTACGACCGATATTCCAACTTGCTTAAGTATGCACTGTATTTGGAATCAAATTTCATTATTTTTTACTTTCCTATATTTAGTTTTTCTCCTGCATATAATCTGGCACTTCTTTAGTCTCTTCTTTATTTTGCCCATTTTTTTACACATTTATACACATATCTGCATGTACACTATACACACACAGATAACACATTTATTGTTAACGTACATGTATAGTATAAATTGCAGGTAATTGCAACCCATGGAAAATACCTTCAGACTTTGCTACGGTGGTAGTGGCGGCGATGTTGGCTGTAAAATGGAGGCGAAGAAATTACTGCAAGTCTAAAATATTAAACTACATAGGCAATCTACACAGGGCGTGTATAGGATGGTTGAAGCCGGAACACAAGAGTTCTAACAATAAGATGAAAGAGTTCTAAGAATGGAAAAAGAGGGATTTAATTACACAGTTTTTGGGCGGCTCGTTGTTAACACATGAGCGTGACAAGAAGGTGATAATATAAGCATCGACAACAAAATCGGATTCAGAATTTAAATCGATAGGAAATAGAAAAATAGAAAAGTCATTTATTCTTTCGCGATTTCTCAATCTTTTGTTAATTTCTTAATAATTAATCTGTAATCATTAATCCTCAGTAATTATAAATTATTATAATGTCATTTTATTTCCTACAATTCTGAATAATATAGATTTCTATAGAATTTCTATTATTGTCTCCAGAAATAAACGTGAAGCCAATTTAATAGGAGAAGGAATGGCCACCTTTGGTCCATGATCTATGATGTGATCAGTCATGACCAAAATATAGAATATGTTTAAAATTCAGTGGATAATAAAGATAAAATAATACATTATTCGCATTATGCATGAAACGGAACGCTGCACCCTTAAATATGTACTGAAATATATCTATATGGTTATCAATTTTATAATTTTATTTCCGCATTTGCAATGAAAGAACTGCACTCTTATATAAGACATCTCCCTATATTCGTGCAAAAATATGTAAAATAAAAAAGTAAAAAGTCTTTAGTTTTCACTTACAATTGTAAAAGATATATCCGAGGTAATGTTCACAGATTAACACCAAGTCTGCAGTCCGATTCATGCTCAAATAACGCTCAGTGAGCATTATTTGCCCTTATGTTTAACATTCGATAAACTACAAGGATGAAATGATTTGAAGAGCGCTGTGAGTATGATCGGAATCGAACCGTATAAGCCCAATATTCGAGAAGCACTGTAAAATAATTGAGTGAATATCGGATCTCGATTTCTATACCTGATCCAATTATAACACGTTTTAGAAATCTAGATATTCTATAGAAATCTGTAGAATGAGACTATAGCGATTTATATATATTGTTGGAAGTTATAAACGTGCTCCCGCAGCGAGGAATGTACTTTTCCTTGACGGTGCGTGTCAAGAATACATCCATTTCGCATCGAAGATACATTGTTATCAAATTTGTGCAGTACGTGCATAATTTATGCTAATAGCGTGTATAATACAAGAACACGCACGTCCACGTGCTTCCCGTTCATCCGCCCGTATACCCAGTTACCCGAATGGAAAATCGGACACGAAAGTTGCGGTCACCGTGAGGGCGCCGGCTTTAAAACGTATTATGGAATTCGCATACATGCGTCGTCGAATTAATTCGATGAATTAACGGTACTTGTATCAATAAAATTAAAATTACCTTGAATTTCTCACAATGGCGCTTTCTTTATTTCATATTTTAAGTCTAAAGAATATTTTATTTTTTCCTACAACGTACCGTTATTAAATATATTCTTTCGACGAACGTTAGATTCCTAAAGGAATAGACTTGTAAAAGTTAATGTGATAAAGGTGTCACGATGTACATAGAAACGTGAATAGTTTGCGAAGTACCTACATCAGCGCGCGCGAATAACTAAAAGATTTATCGTCTATCGAATGTAGATATTCATATACGTTCGCGGCGTACCATGTATGTCCAAACATGTATAATCGGGCGTACTCATAATTATACGAGGCGGACGAGAGTCCGCGGTCACATCCAAAGGAAGGATGTTTGAGAAGCCGCGCCTCGAAACGTTCTCTTATTTCTTGGCACCTTCGATTGACAATTCTCAGGCTAACCGCGAGCGAGCGGTACGAGGCTGGATTATTTGCTCTATCTTCGTCGACGAGATTTCTCGTCACCTTCTTTTCGCCGCGGAAACTCTGCCATGCGGTTCTCCGTTTCTCTCTCTTTTTTTTCGTCTCTCCTCCTCCTCGTGTCGATGGCATACGTGGCCGCATATAAGGATGTACCGGGAATGTACATTGACTATTACGGCCCCTCGTGCTTTTATAGCCCGTCTGGGTGGCGCACATACCATTGCCATCTTGTTAGCCGCGATTAAATATTGATGCAAGAACCGATATCCAGCCTGTAGTGATTTTCTCGATGGTTCGCGGAACGGCACGCGAGAATCTAGGGCGGTAATTTACAATTACGCGTATCGCTCGCCAACTTTTTCTACGCGTTAATCCGCCGAGATCGTGCGTCGAAACGGTACGACAGGAATGATTCACTGCCGCGAAACCGTTGCGTACAGTATTTATAAATAAAGCCGCGTTGAAGAGCTGGTAAACCGCGATTCCTAACGGCCATGGTGTTAATTTGTTCCTCGCCGATGCGTGTCCATTATTGTGCAAATTGTCGACGAGGCAGATTGCGCGAACGTCTGACAATGGGGGATCGCGCGCGAGTCTGCGTGCGCGGTTGTCCCCACGGGGTGTTAAACTACCCCATCGTTAGTGTGCCGAATCAACCGGAAATTCCAGCTTTCGTCGCTTCCGTATTCATTCAACGAGAGATGCGAGATACGATGAAAAAGGGAGAAGAGAAGCAAGTCGTTTCCGAAGGAATTAGCTAAGGTGAGATAATGCCGAACGTAGACGTACCAGCCCCCTCTTGAGTCGGCTCGATTGTCATGAAAATATTTATTATCAGAAAAGAGAGAGAGAGGGAGACACGACAGGACAGCACTCACTGCCAGAACCTGCATGTTTCCAGATAATTAGAGATCGACGGCTGTCAAGATTCTATGAAGATGCTGCGACAGCTGAAACTGCTATGCAAATCTTTGAAGGTCTATCTATTCATCTATATACTAAGCTCTATCGATGCTTCCTACGTCTGATTTTTTTTCACAGAAGGCGATTTATGGCATTGGTTGTTAAGCTAGTAATTAAATTGACCTTTGAGATATGCATTGTACAAGAATATACATACGGTTTTTTCTTTTTTTTTTTTAGTAATAAATCTACTTTTATGAAACATAAGACAGAGTAAATAAACATGGCAGAGAGGAGAGAGAGAGAGAGAGAGAGAGAGAGAGAGAGAGAGAGAGAGAGAGAGAGAGACTTAAAACATAATCTGTTTTCCCTATCTAGTATTTTCATACTTTTATCGTTTTTTTTTATTATTATTTCTGCTATCTCGCGTATTCATGGCGTATATCGAGGGAAAATGATTATCTAGCAAAAAAAAAGAATTAGTTGGAGAAGGAGGTGGAGGTGGAGGTAACGAGACGGGAGCGAGACGGGGAAAGATTGCTCCGAGACAACCGTGAGGAGATCGCTTTCGGGATCATTAATTATCCTAGAAAGTGCGAGAACGGGCAAGATATATAGGGGGAGGATGGTGGCAGCGAGGAGGGAGGAAGCTGAACGAACGACGGATAGAAAAGAGAGCGAAGGAGACGGCAAATGTCGCCACTGCAAACCGAAATTACTGTCGAAGATTAATGGTCCTTTACGCTTTATTACAAGTATTTATAGACCGATCCTCTAAATTTCTCGTAAAGTTAACTTCGTACCGTACAGAGCAGTAACATTATCCAAGTTTTTGCCTGGAAACGTAGAAATAGATTGAATTTATTTCTATTCTCACAATCACTATTCTCTATTATAAGTGGCTTGACCATCTATACACCTGAAAGAATGATATAAAGAAAAATGAATGAATTTTTTCTCCAAGATTTTAGTTTTTTTTTGTTTGCAAGATTCTTTCTTGCAGAATTTCCGAAACCGTTTAAAAGTCTGTTTTCTATTCATGTACTGGACTGTACTAAAACTTTCTTTCTCACTTTTGCTAGATATCGCAAACATATTAGGGTACAGCGGTGGTAAAAATTTTAAGATACATTTTATTAGATCAATGTCTGATCTAATAAAATATATCGTAAAATCTCTTATTTTTCCGAAATTCTTGCAAATGCTTACTGTTATCCAAATTACCCCACTATTGAAATTACCCCGCTGTACCCTATATATTTTACTTCAAGGCTTACTGCAAAGAATGTATACTAGTTCAGATATAGAAAACCGATCATAAATGTAGTATTGAAAAGATTTTTAAGACAGTATGAAGCAGTCTGTATTGTACACAGCAGTAACATCATCCAAGTTTTTGTCGGTAAATATCGAAATAGATTCAATTATTTCTAGACAATTGCTATTCTCCATTATAAATCGTTTGACCATCTATGTATACCTGAAAGAATAATATAAAGAAAAACGAGTGAATTTATTCTCCAAGATTTTAGTTTTTTGTTTGCAAGATGGTTCTTGTAGATTATTATCGAAACGTTTAAATAGTATTGAACAGATTTTCACTCGGAACCAATCTTTTTCATGAAAATGCTTGTATAGACGGAACCTTCTTTTCTTTCTAGCATTAATTATACATTTGCCTTAAATCAAGCAAATTGATTAGTATTAAACGGTTATTTAAATGGATGATCATTTGGCAACATCAACATTGTTGGCAGATCAACGGTCAAACCAAGTTACAAGTTCTCATCCGATCATTTAAGTAATGACATATTTGTTAGCTAGATAGTGGATATAAATATCGGACAGATCCGAAAATATTTAAAATGTTTTTTAACCTTATACTGTGAATATAATAATATATTATTCTATTTTTTTTAATTATTTCATAATAATTAATAAAATCAAATTTTTTCGAAGTTAAATGATGTTTTTCTCTTCATATTTTATTTAAAAAATTATCTGATCTAATTTTCGAAAAAATGTGATTTTATTGATTATAATTTGATCAATAGATGCAGTATTCAACATTAGGTTTAAAAAGAAAAAAATTAGATTTCTTTAGTATTTCGCTATGCAATGAAGATTCATTAGAATCGAAAAGTACGCAAAAATACGGACGTACATCGTACCGATATATTATCGTATCGTACCCGCATACCAATGGTACTCATCGCATTAATTAACTTCAGTCCAAACGTTTGCTCTACGTACGATGAAAAAGACTGGCGGAATGAAAAAAAAAAACAACGTGCCTTCTTTAAATAAATCGCTGGGAGTGACGGTTGCGGGAAGGAAGATTAACGAGCGCGGTGTGTCGTTCGATTCGATACGTCGAATTAACGCGGGACAGAAACGAAGCTGCGTGTATCGGTTATTAATGACTTACGGGGGGCTGCCAATGTAAATGTTAGCGATGCCGCGCGTACTTGGCGTAATCGTCGCTTTGAATCGCTTAGAGATGAGTATACGTGCCGATGAATACCCGTCAGGCCGACGTACGGCCGTGAATTGAACGATAATGGTCGAAACGACGATTAATTGGCCGTAATTGGGTGTAGCGACGACAATGGCGTTTAAGCGCCCGTTATTAATTACACGCGCGCGGCACAAAAGGTTATATACCGTTGAAGGAATCGTTTCGCATTTTTTTTTACGGCCCCGTCCCGGGATCCCATTTTGAATACATTTAACGATTTACGCAGCGAACTCGTTTTCAGGAAACTAAATCGTTATTGCTCGTCTCTGTGGAGGCTAAAACGAATTCCAGTCGCGCTCGTTGCGCGTATATACACGCGTACGTGGAGGGCGTGGGGATGAAAAAATCAACCACCGCCCTCCGTTGCCTGAGTGGCAGGTTCGCTAATACATACCCTCGCGTCCCGCCGCGCGTTCGCCTTCTCCTGCGAGCAATATCACCCCGGTTTCGCCGATGTACCGAGATAGACGAAGACAGAAAACGGTAGGGTCGTCGGTTAACGATGATACGAGTAACCAGGCAGAGGCAGAAAGAGAAAGAGAGAGAGGGAAAGAGAAGGAAATGGAAAGCGCAAGCCCATAATGTTGGGGGAGGAACCGGCTATCTCGTGCCAATCTTCTCGACGTTTTCTCACACGAATATTCCTTCCCTTCTTTTAAATATATTAAAAACAGGGACTCGAACCGCTGTAATATCGATCCAATTAATTCTTGACGGGTTACAACAAATGCAGAGAAACATATTTTATGGCAGATGTCGCATTTTCGTTGCCTGTGCAAAATATACGATATGACACAGAAGTATAAGTCACCCGGGAAGTTACCTATTTTCTTACTGTATAAATAATCACTTGGGGTGATTTTTTTTACCACTTCAGCAGCGAGAAATATAAAGCTTACGGTAATTTTCTTTTGACTTGATTTGCAAGTTAATAATAATCAGCAGTAAACACGCTCGAATTTGCTTCTAATTTTTGTGAAATTTTGTGGTTCATTTGCGGATGCTGCTGTAGGCGAGCCGTTAAAGAAACAAGGGAAAAGACTATGCAGCAGATGAAACAGCAGGAGATGGGAAAGGTCCGATCTCGAGATAATAGCACGAAAGTTAGTCGGCATCGTTAATCTTGTCGTAGGTCGACGGATAGACTCGTATGTACGAGTGTGTACTTGAGTATTTGCTACGAGTACATCACGAAGCCACACCCCTGGCGTGAGATACGACGGTGGTTACGATCTCAACAACAACCGCCACATTCGCATAATTACCCATGCTCGTCGCAAGAATATTATCGAACACAGAGAATAAAAATCGATAAATTTATAGACTTATGATTCTTAGAGCCAATGCAAATACATTTAAATAATACACCAAAAACAATTTTAAAAAATTGTAATTTTTAAATCACGAAAATAATAAATTTTTTTTCCTTTTTCAGATTTATCAAAAGGTCATTGAGATTGTACGGAGTCAAATCGCTTTTTATACTGGTCGCTGGTATTGAAGAGTGTTACTGCGTTAAACGCTACGAAAACAGAGATTGTTGAGCCATCTGTTGGTGATATTTATCGTTCTAAATAATCGATATTCATTTGTTAGTATTCATTATTAATTTTTTTAATTACTGAAGGGATACAATTATAATTAAATCACAATGTAAATATAATAATGAGCAAATAAAACAAGATTGATGATCTTAAGCACAATAAATTTATACAATGATTTATGTGCCTCACGATGCATACTACAATCGATTCCAAATGTGATCTCTCACAAAGAAAAACAACTATACAAACAGATTTAAAAAGAATGAAAGAAAAGTAGAAAAAATTGAAAGAAACTTCTAAATAATTGCGTATATATATTATATATCTCGGCGATGTCATGTTAGTTAATTAAATGACTCCATATTTTTATTCTCACAAGAAAAATCGAAAATTTTTATAAAAATCATGTTCAGGTAAATAATATATTTGAAATGGTCAGAATAAATTGTCTCCCCGAACATCTCCTAGATAATTTTCATTTGTGTGTCCATATCCTTTCACAATTCATTCTTTTATCTAACCGGCAGCCTTAGCAGTCAATCGCTCTGTCGCTAAAGTAGTATAAATTGAACAAGATAGGGTAGAAGCATATAGGCTTTATTTACAGAAAATAGTCACGTTTCGGTTAACAGCTAGCAACTAGCAGTTGAGTCGTGTGATGAATGCATTGAGCAGGTCAAGAAGGAAATTTATTCGGAAAGTTTCACAAGGAGACGCGGATAACAATGATGAAAGGTAAAAAACGGGTGTCATCAGAAGAGATAAAGAAATCATCAGAAGATTTTCACATTTACTAATCGTATTGATCGTTGGTTATGTCGGCTAAAAATCATTATGCTCATTATCAGATTGTCGATGGCTGCGGATGTACTTTGGCGGCGTGTTATGCAAACTATATTATTATAATTAATGTACTCCCTCTTTCGATATCAAGAAGGACACGATTATCGTCGAGCAACGATAACACTGTGCAACATACCGACTGGCGTCGTTGAGCGAAAACAAAATATGTCTTCGTACTCGAGCGAGCTGTCACGTTCGCAGGAATATCTGAGCTTTCGCAGCTCCATACCACTCAGGAAAATCGTCGTCGACGCTGACGGCGCTAAGGTATTATTCTCTATCCGTATTATTATTAATAAATTAATTTTATATTATGTTTCAATCGTTCGATCACTCGCTGTTTACTTTCCTCTTTTTTTATCATCGATTTACACAAAGTTATAAAGTGACCTCTGATAAGTATAAGAAGGTACATCTTGAAATGTTTCTATTTTGTTTTAGGGATGGAAGGTGTATGATTCTAATCCAAAAACTATCAAGTGCCCACTTATATGTCTTCCACCCGTTTGCGGTACCGCTGATATTTTTTTTAGGCAAATATTAAGTCTGGCTGCCAAAGGTTATAGAGTTATCTCAGTAAGTTAAACGTATATTCGAAAAACATTCCGAAGTATTTAAATATATGTAAAATAATATAGATCTGAATATAGTATAATCTTGCTGATATAAATTAGATAGCGGTAAATTGGAACTTGATTTTTACAGGCTGAGGCACCAGTATATTGGAGCATAAAGGAATGGTGCGACGGATTCAGAAAACTGTTAGACTATCTAGAACTTGACAAAGTCCATCTTTTTGGTGCTTCCTTAGGTTAGAACGCATAAGCAAGATATTTTACTTTTAAGTGATATATCTATATTAAGTATAAATCTAATAAATGAAATCTAATAAATCTCATGAATTTTCTATTTACAGGTGGTTTTTTGGCACAGAAATTTACAGAGATAAATGCACACTGTCCTAGGGTAGTATCTCTGGTTTTGTGCAACACCTTTACAGACACATCTGTATTTAGTTACAATGATTCCGCAGCAGTGTAAGTAGGGTATTTCAAACTATAATGTGTAAGGCAAATGCAATCGAAGAAGATAGAACTGAATTTATAACATTTTTTTTTCTTTTCGTAGCTTTTGGATTTTACCTTCATTAGTATTGAAGAAAATGGTAATGGGAAATTTTGCAACAGAGAAAGTCGATGAAGAGATTATAGAGGCGATTGATTTTATGGTGGAACGGGTATGAATCTTACAATTCATTTTTTTTTTCAAATTGATGAAAGACGAAAGGTATACTAAGAAAAAAGATGTTCGTTCTAAAAATATTATATATACGCATATATACTTTATAATTTATAGCTGGAGAGTTTAACGCAACCCGAATTAGCATCTCGTTTAACAATGAATTGCATAAATTGTTACGTACAACCTCAAAAGATATGTCATTTACCTGTGACAATAATAGACGTTTTTGACGAATATGCATTATCAAATGCAGTCAGAGAAGAAATGTATAAATGCTATCCAAATGCAAAACTAGCACATTTAAAAAGTGGTGGGAATTTTCCATATCTAAGTCGATCCGCTGAAGTTAATTTGCATTTGCAGGTAAATATATTTATAATGTATAATTATGATCAATTGTCGATGGTACGAAATATCGAAGCATTTCTTTTCAGATTCACTTAAGACAATTTGAAGATACGGAATATACGGCTTTAGAAAAAATTAAGATTTAGCGCAACGCATTTAGGGAAAATGTAATAAAATCCAGAAACTGTATATAAATATTAATTAAACAGAAATCCATTGCTCATACGCGGATATTAAGATTGTAGACAACCTCTATGCCTTTTGTATAATTAAGTCAAACATATTATTTGTCAATGCTCTCAGTGAAGGAATATATTTGTTATATAATGCTTAAGTACTGTAGAATTATACCACTACTAGGAATTACATGACATATATTGTTACTTAATTTGTTACCTAATATTTTGTTTTTAAATATAAAAAGCATTTATATTTTGTAATAGGTTGATCTCATTTTAACTTTGTAAAAAGAATTTTTTATTCTACAAGTTAAAACTCCTCAATAATTATAACATCTTGTGTTCAATAAAAATAAGAAATATCCTTTTCTAATTCTTTTAGTTTTGAGTACATGGATTTTATAAAAAATATTTTTAATTACATCTGTGTGTGTGCGTATACGTGTGTGTGAATTTAATAATAAAATATTCTGGAAAATTATATTTTATACATCTTATTGACCATTTTATACAAGAATTTAATATTTTCGTAAAATTTAATGGTCTGCTATTTTCATTATATTATTTTTTGAGTCAGTTTTTCTTTATGGTCAAAGTTAGAAGTGACCATAGTTTGCTAGGTTCTCTGACCGGGAGACCGTATAAGAACTTGCTTGGTATCGATTCCTTCGAGTGTGTGCCTCTCTCGCGTTTCTCTTTTGCAATCTCAGATTACAGGGCCTGTTTTGCCCGTATACGCACGTAACATCGTTATCCGTGTTAGTTGCCTTCTCCAGAAAAAAATTTTTTTCCCATTATTCAATAAAATTTTAATTGGCTTTAACTTTACATAGTTAACATTTTCTTATTATGTGAAATATTTATATTTTTTATTATGTTTTTCTAAAAATATAATATTGTTAAAAAACTTAATTTTGCAATTTCATTAAAATATTAACCAATATCAAAGAATTCATACGTTAAATATATTAATTCGTATTCATAAATGTAATAGATATAATTTGATCTTATACAAACTTTGTTTTACAAAAGTGAAAAAATTCATTAAAAAAATTAATGAGAGTTTTGACTTGTCTGAAGTAGGTATCGACATAATGATAAGATTATGGTTATCACTGCCTACTGAGGCTATACTAATCCGTCTGATAGTTTTGACGTTATCTTTTGTAAAGAACGACGTTTCAGAGCTCAGTCTCTTACCTGCACGTGACGCGAACAGACAGCCGGTATCCGGTATCGCGGTATTCGTGACATGTGGCACGTTAATTTTAATTGTTTTTATGACATATTTAAAGAATTAATATCATGAGGATAGATATAACATCAAATTTTAATCTGATTTGTAAATAACGACATTTTAAATAACGTTTGCGAAATTTTTCCTTAGTAATAATTATTACTAAAATATAATTAATTTAAATTACGGCTGCACATATTAATGAAGCAGTATATCGTTTGAATATTTTATTTACGCTATTTTATGTATTACACATATTTCTTTAGAGTTTAAAAAAAGGTACAAGATTGTGTTTCATTCATAAAAGATTCAATTGCTATTCAATCTTTAATAATAATAATTCATAATTTTATACTGTAAAACATAAATTTTTATTTAAGGATAGGTGTGTGTGTTTTATAACGTCTAACAATTTGCTGAGGTTGAAATTCAATCTTTTTAATTATATTAATTATAATAAAGTATAATTCGAATTGTTGAGTCTAAATAATCGGATTGTCGTACTATGTTATTAACAATATTATCAACAATTTGTAATCCTTCGCACGATATTACAAAATATTGATGAGTATGTGCTTTTAAACTTATTCGCGATCATCACGTAACTGTTCTAACAAGAAACTATCCTGAAAGAAAATAGCTTGAAGCAAAATTTAATCAAGTGAAAGGAACGCTGACCACAGGTTTGCCTTAGAATGAAATAACGTTGTCGCAAATATTTATTTTTGTTATTGCACTTTTGTTATAAATCATAGGTGGAAAGAACGATTTTGTTGGAAAATCTAAAAATTTTGCTGAATACAGATTTAAAAATAATTTTGTTGAAAACTGAAAAAACTCATCATTGCTGATGAGCATTGCTGTAAAACGTTTTGACATTCTAGCAACCAGTTTGAATTTCTAACAAAAGTATTTTCAACTGTATGGTCTAATAAAATTATTTTCAGATCTGTATTCAGCAAAATTTTTAGATTTTCCAGCAAAACCGTTTTTTCCACGTAGAATTTATTTAACTTTTTTCTACATTTTTTTTTCTACATTTTCTACAAAGCCTCAGTGAACGATTGTTATATTAGTTTATTATAGTTCTATTTTTTCGCAGATCTAAGAATGCGATTTTTGGAAGCATAATGGATTCGCCAGAAATGTGAAAGTTTTCATTTTTTGCGTTTCGAAAAACAAGAAATCCGTTTAAAAATGGACAACGAGCAAAGGCCTCTCGTGGACAACGGGAGAGTAGCAACGTCTACGAAAATCGCTTATGCTCTAGGACACATTTTCAACGATCTAGCGGCGGCTATGTGGTTCTCCTATACTTTAATCTATCTCCAACGAGTTACACTGTTAAAGCCTATTGTTGCCGGTGCGCTTTTACTCTTAGGTATGTGACAATCTATTCATGCGCGGACGACGCTACGTTAGTCATGCCACTGATTAATGTTCGAACGATTTTCATTCAAGGACAAATCATCGACGCCGTTATGACACCTATCTTTGGTTTCTTGATCGATCGTTATTGCAAGAAAAAAATTTGGCACGTTGTCGGTTCCGTCATGGTTACTCTGTCCTTCCCCGTAATATTCGGCGGTTTTGTCAATCCGTCTACTACGATCGCGATGATTTTATATATAACGAGTATTACGATATTTCAAACGGGTTGGGCGGCCGTACAAATCTCTCATTTATCAATGATTCCCTCGTTAACTAATTCCGTTCTAGCGCGAGCTGATTTGACCGCAATAAGGTTTGTAATTTGCATAATAATCTCTTGAAAACGTGGGACTCTGGGTAGTAGTTGAGTAGCGAATATTGAGTATCTAAATATTATTTCAAGGCAAATTTAATCGTTATAGATATTCCGCTCAAGTTGGCGCGGCCGTAGTAGCTTTTGTAGTAACATGGATAGTTCTACCGACCAGTGGTGAATCGATGGCAATTCAATTGGATCAGCAGGATGACTATAAATTCAGAGTACGTACGAGAAAATAATAATAATGATAAGAGAAGGATGTGTATAACATGTAACTTTCATTTGCAGAACATCGCGCTGGTGCTCACAACTATCGGTTTGATCGCGACCGTTTCCTTTCACATTTTCCTAAAAGCGAATCTCTTGGAACAAACAGTATCCGCAAAATCGAACATCGAAGATCCGGCTAAGCCGTCGGACGTTTCGTCGAATCGTCGAATGTCATGGATCGACATCACAGTTTTGCTAAGAGTCGCGATGCTATACGTGGCGAGCAGGTTATTTATCACTCTCGCTACGGTATACATGCCGCTGTACATAGAAGAGACGAAAGTTGACGGTAAGCAAGCGTTGGCAAGTGTGCCGTTGGTTTCGTACGTATCCTCGTTCACGGCCGCCTTGCTGCTCAAATACATCAATCGAATTTGCGGTAACAAGGTAATATTTTGACGGAGACGAAGGAAAAGTAGAGATGTGACAAAATGTATTTTTATTTTCCGTTGGATCATAGGCTTGCTACTTTCTCGGTGCCATAATTGGTATAATTGCCGCCGTTGTCACGGAGACTGTCGGAGGTAACGCGACGGTCGTGTACGTCGTTGCCGTATTAATTGGCGCGGGAAGCTCCATCACGATGGTCACCGCATTGAGCGTCACTGCCGAATTAATCGGCTCTCGAACGGAACGTAGCGCATTCGTATACTCAATCGTCACGTTTCTCGATAAAATTATCACTGGTCTCGTGGTGATATTCATCGAAAAATGGTAAGTAACATAGCCGGTTTATAAACAATCGTCCAAATTTCGCAATTGAGATTGCATCCTTCCCACAATATATTGAAAATCCTTATAAATAAACGTAACTTTATTTTAAGAAATTCTTACGACTCTTATTGTTAGATAAACAACTCCAATTTGACTACTAGGTCTTTAAAATCTGCTTTTATTTTTTTTTTCAGGAGATGCAACGACACGGAACTTTGCCCCACTTATAATCGAGACACATTGTCCACCGTTTGTGCTTCCTCGATGTTACTGGGACTTATTACTTTGTTATCTGTATCACGCTGTCTAACTTAAAAAATTAATATAATTTTAAATATTTTTCTATTCTGTATCGTTTGTAAACTATATAACTTATTTTCTCAATATTACTGTGCGAACAACAAAATCGTTTTATGTTGTATTTTATTATTGCATCGTCTTTCATATTTGTAATCAATGGCGAATTCACTGTAGTGAATATACTGTTAATTATAGCGAGTACATTCATCGATCGACAAAACGCAGTTATTCCCATTCTCTGATTTTTTTTATTGGTATTGTTAGCCTCTACAATTTGCTTCGCTTAACTGCATGTAGGTAGTATGGACCATCGGGTCTAAACCCGAGCTATCTACTAAAGAAAATTGAAATGTGAGAAAACAATTACAAATGCATTGTCTACTCACACATAAAGTCTATTGAGTCTATCTCAAATGACCTCGAAATCGCAGCTACTCCCCGTAGAGCGTGAAGAATGTATAAAAAAAGATCACATCAAATTCTTGAAAACATCAAAAAGACGTAAATATTTCATTAAATATCTTCATATTCTTCTTATTTTTAAAAGATCTCTATCAAAGTTGTCTAAAAAATGTTTGAAAGATACCTTTTTCCGAAATTATTGTAAGACATTATAAGACATGGTAATAAGATATTTTTAAAAAGTCTAAAATATCTATCTAGGAATACTCAGAATAGTCTTAAATTGCGTAGTATTAATACATTCATATATACGAGCATTAATATATCGATTTCAATCTTTTTTATAGAAGAAAGAAGAGCGTGATCCATTTTCAAATTTATACTATCTTATGAATTATAAGTAACATAGTATCATCTATGTTTGAAACAGCATCGAAACTCCAATTAATCGAGAATTAATCAATAGAATTACGGTAAAATTTCCAATTATTTGAAAAATAAATATTTTATCGATGTTAACGAAATAAGTGAAGATTCTCCAGGCAGTAATAGACGCAGACGTTTCGCTGTCGCCAGGTGGTTTATCATTCGCGTAGGGTTTATCATCTGGGCCGATGGATTTATCATCCGCGCGCGCGCAGGTATCCGGTACTCCGATGCTTTAATTCAGATGTCACGACGTTTACGGTTTGCAGTAAACGGCCGTTGTGACCGTTCGAACGGAAGGCGGATTGGCGGATAGCGTCGCTCGCTCGCTCGGCCAGCGGTGGCGCGAGAGTACGATGACCCGTCTGTTCGTATGTTACGCGCTGGCTGGCTGAGCTGGCGGCTCGTCGCGGTTGCGTCGTAGTACGTCAAGGCAGATATTCCCTTTATCGCGCGTAGAAAGCGCGGTCGAGAAGAAGAAGGGAGAACGTAGTCGGGCGGCGCGAGACTCTGCGCAGGCGCCTATTTTGCTCGGTGGGCGAGAGGCGGGCGGCGACGGGTGCATGTTAGCGGGGCATGGCGCGGTGCGCGTTCTAGTAAACAAGTTGTGTGCGAGCCGCGCGGGGAATCTTGCGCCCCGACCGAGGCAACGCTAGCGCGATATTTATTTAACGACGCGACCGTCTCGTCGCGCGCCACGACGCGCCGCGTCGCCGTCGACCTCTCTCTAAAAATCTTCCGTCATTCTCGCCGAGGAAACGCGGCCAAGGGGATAAACAAACGGATCAACTCGGGCAGCGCGAGCCGACTCGTCTCGCGCTTTCGCGTGTTATGCGTACGCGGGTTCGCGGGTGTGAGTGGTGTTGGTGTTCGCGGAGAAAAGTGATCGTCACTGTGTTTACCATCGATTCTGGGATCTCTAACGAGGAGACGATCCCCGATCGTGCTCGACGAAGGGAGCGAGGAGGAGAAAGTCGTCGATGCCGAGTGATGACACCCCCGATACGCGTCTTCGGGCTTCCGACTAGACGCCGTGTCTCGGTGAGTCCTCCTTCGGCTCTCCAGACTCTCCTTTGCGTCGTTCTCACTTTTTCGCCGCACGCGCGCCAACCACCAGGCTCTCCTCTCCTTTCTATGACGTATTCACGGTGTAGTTTGGCTATTATCGCGCGGAATATTGTCACCGAGCGTGCAGCGTTGGAGCTTTCGCTCCGAAACGATATTCATCTCATAAAACATCCAGTGGACCTGTTTTCGTTCGTTTTTTACTTTTATCAAAGATCTTCTCTTCCCTTGTTCTCCGTTTATCTACCCATTTATCTGCCTATCCTCTCCCCTTCTTTCTCTCTCTCTCTCTCTTTTCCTACCTGTTCCGCATCGCGTTCCTTTCCTCGCTCCGTCCTCGATAGAGAAGGAACGCGAGCGGCGCGGCAGCAGAAGGGTAAGGAAAGGGAAGATGGCAGGAAAAAGTGCGCGCCAGAAGTAACGCGCAAAATTTTTTTCGGAACAACAGCGTCGCTTCTGGGGCGTTGCTCCTCAACGTCGTATGTCGTATTAAGCCCGACGATATGGAGCTCGCGAAAGAGTCCTTTTCCACGAAGCACGCATGCTTTCACCGGTGCTCGCGCGGCACGGTGCGGCGTGGCGCGGCGGCGGCGACACGGGTATCAATGGCCTCCGAGAGATCGTCGTGAAAATTGCTCGTTTGCTAGCGAGAGGGGCGAGAAGTAGAGGACTCGAAGCTCGGAGCGGAGAGGAAACGAGCGGGCCGAGTTCCACGTATGAGATCGGCGACGACGATTTTTCGAGGAACAGAGAGAACGGGTGGGGGGCGGGGGATGGCGAGGGGTAGAGGGAGGAAAGGGGGGGAGGCAGAGACGTAGACGGACTCTCAGCCGCCTCGACCGTCGTTTCTGCGAATCTCGGGAGAGGTAAACGCGCGCGCGACGCGACGTCGTTTCCTTTGGTAAAAGGTCCCGGTGTCGCGGCGCGTCGATAGGCAGAAAGCAGCGTGGTTATATCGCGCGTCCCGCGATATTTCTCTCTTTTAGTCACTGACCTCGCGGCTGCTCGGCTAACCTCGTTCGCCGCCGCGCCGCGCCGTCGCGTCGCAAGAGAGCGAACGTCGCGACGACGTCGCCCCGAGCCATGGGGAGAGGAGGACCGTATAGAACACACGAATTCGGCTCGGCTCGTCTCGGCTCGCCTCGGCCCGATTTCAGCTCGCGTCAAAGCCCTCCTTCCTTCCTTCGTCGAGAGCACCTTTGTGCTCTTACTCTCGCAAACGCACTCTCGCACGCACGCCTCGTGTTGGGTTGGACGCACATACCATACATGATTATCATAAATATATGTATATTGTTTTTCTCGCAAAGGCTCTCTGACGTCCATCACGTTATTGCTCGCGATTCATTGTACTCGCCCGTATTTGATCACGTCGCTTTGATCCGTTATTAAGCTCGCCCAGTAGAATAAACAACAAACGTTTTCCGCCTTTCCTTTCTTTCGGATCCAATCTTCCGGAAAATCGATCCGTCGACATTCGTTGCGCTCTTAACATCGGATTTCCGACGGCGTTTCAATTTAGTAACTATATTGGATACGTGGTCGCAATGTTCTTTCTCCAAAATTACGCTGGGGGCAATTTGATCTTTGCGAATTTCTGTTTGAGTCGACAGAGAATAATGTTTTGTCAGCCGGAATATCCCTTTCTCGCGTAATCGCGACGCCGACCATGAACGCCATTCCTTCCCGCGATTATTTGCTAGTTGGCGAACAGTGCTACGACAAGGAGGGTATCGATCGAACGTTCTAGCAGTTGATTTCTGATAAGAAATATTTGATTGATAGCGACGACATATCCAATGTTCTTTTTACTAGGTATCGAATGAGCTACACGGTGCCCACGCATTTGTCAGAAAAATAGCATCTGTTAAAAAAAAAAAACATCCATTACGTGCGAAGTATTTTTCACATAGTGGTCGCGAGAAAGAAAAAAAAGAAGAGACTGACGCGTGCGTGATGATCCTCCGATGACGTCGCGGAGTCGATATGATTGGAATTGAGATCAATTCCCGCGGCAATATTATTTCGCGCGTTCGATACCGCATTGTTTAAACGCTCTCTTATTAGACTGGCCGGAAAATAACGTGGAACCCGCGTGAGTAACGATGACGTTTACGACATTATAGACATCAACAGAAGTTGTTGCCTGGTGCGCCTTAACTAACGCGAAATAAGTAAAGTGTCTGCGAGAGACGTTTAGCCTTGAAAATATTCGTAAAAATGATATTGGATTATTTGACGGCTGACATTAACGACAGGTAATAACGTCGAGCCGCAATGCCTAACCCCTCCCTCTTTCCCTTGCTCTTTCTCTTTCTTATTCGTGTTTTATTATTCCTATAAGCGCTGTGGCGGTTCGTTTTATCTCCGAGCGTCGTCACAAATCACGGAAGGATGCCAATTTTTTTTCCCTTTTTTTTTTATTTTTTGAAACTGTCAGATGCGATGATCCCGGCAAAAGCGAGCCCCCGTGGCTATTGTATCGCATCGATAACACGCGTTGAAAAACGATTGCTGCCCGTTATTTTCGAGGGATCGAAGCGATACCAAGCAACACTATACCATTTCGTAGAAATGACAATGACATCTGGACTGCCCACTCGCGTCGTCATCGTCATCGTCATCGTCGTCGTCGTCGTCGTCGTATCGTAATTGGATAGCTTGTTCGTTCCCCGAGCAAAAGTACTACGCCAACGATGGCACGGAATGTCACCGCTGTTACGCTATTAACGCGTACCAAGGGCACATGCGCCCAATAGAACGATTGGCCGGCATTGTTATACTAACAATAAGGGGAACTCGTGTGTGGCTCCGAATATCGCGCCAACATTTACGACGCTTCACAATCAAGAAAAACTGGCCGATCGATAAATCTGGTCGAATCGAATCGTATAACGAAAATCGATCCTAAAATAGGGAGAATCTCACCGACACACCTGCAAAGCGAGCACGAATAATTTTCAATAGCTAATTTCCCCTCGGGTATCGACGATTGCTCAAGATTGCTACGTGTTGTCGATATTCCCTGAAATCACATGTTCTATGGCGCGCGGCGCAGCATTCTCGCCAGCAGCAAGGCAAGATGCATCTCTTGCTGCCGCGTGTCCCGCTTACACTGTTGTAATCTCTTTACATATTTTCCGTAGAACGTAAAACCGTCGCGCGTCGTCGCTGCGCCGCTCGTTATGTCTCTTTTTTTCTTTGATGCCGAGGTATAGCCGTTTTTCTTATCATAACTACATGTTGCGCGTGTCCTTGTCCGCTTTTACGGGATTTCGACTTTCTATTCGAGCCACACGTACTCGTTCGGCACAGAAAATCTAATTATCCCCATGGATCTAGATAGAGTAGACGTACGACGTCGCGGACGTGACTGTATAACGCGAACGGTTACTTAGAGATCGGATCTTAATTCGCTCGCTAATTCGTTAATTGGATCGTATTACTTGTCAATCGTACCACCTATGGTTTTGTTCCTAAGAGATTGCACGAGCGAATCGTTTTGCAATAACCGCGTGCGTAAATATACACCGGCACGGAGCAATTAGCGATTGCAATTAGTGTTATTTATTTGAACATGTTATTATCGCGGAGTTAAGAGAGACGTTTGGAAGAAAAAAATCAATGCTTCAAATGTTAGAACAGTAATTGGGTTGTTTTCTGTCAAAGAAGAGAGAAAACTAGGCTAAATCGTGTAATGCAATACTATAATGCAACATTTTAAAACATGTATTTAAATTCGTGGAATGTAAAGCTCATAAAAGTAAAAAGAAAATTTCTCTCGCGCTTCCTCCGTTTGTGAGCAAATGAAATATTTTGAATCGCAAGTTTTATTTTAGTAACGTGTTTTCTCGTGATGTCTATTTTCCGTTTTTATCGTCAGCTAATCCATTTTAACTCATTAGTCTGAATACAATTAACCTGTTTCGCGTTTATCGAAGAGAAGCTCGTTCCTCGATAACGCGCCCTCGCCGAAGAATCAAGCGGGCCACGCTTTAGTGCTGAAGAAGTTTTACGTGAGCGAAGGTGTTTCCAAATACTAATTCGGCCGGTGCTAAATCAGCGTTTTCACGCAAGAACGGCTCCGTTCGTGCCGTGCCGGTATCGCGCGCGCACGCGCCTCGCATGCTCGCATCTCGATCTCGCCGTGCCCGTTTTACCTACATAGGCGCCGGAATGTAAACCGCATTCCGTGCAACGCCGGGTACACCGGGTGTCTTGAGAATATAACGCGACGAGTGGAGGGGGGGGGGGGGTTCTCTCCGGTTTTTGAGAAGTAGCGTTGTAAAACAACGAGACGGGTAGAAATACCGGCGAAGCAACGACGTCACTTCTTCTTCCATCGAAGCCATCGTTAAATATGCAAACTACTCTAGTGCTGTGCATGCGATTTACGTACCTACACGTGTTCGGATGTGTGTATATGTGCGTGTGTGTCTGTCTGTCTGCTGTGTGTGCGCGCGCGCGTACACATATGTGTGTTTGCTGCACGTACTTTCCAGGAACTATATTTCATTTGAGCCGCATGTGTGCACCTTGGGAACGCTGCACGGACCTTAAAATCACTCGCGTATCTAGCCACGCTATATCGAGATCGAGATCCTATAATATTGTCGACACTGTAACTGATTGATATATAAATTCTTTAGTTAGAACCTCTGACTGATAGCTTTTCTTGAAGCTTTCCTTCAGCTTCCTTCTACTGATGTAAGAAAATACAACATTTTCAGGTCGACGTTTCGCATCGTTTTTTTTTTTCATTTCTCAAAGTACCGGCTTTAGAAAGATTACGTTTTCTCTCCCATCTCTTCCCCCTCCTTCTCTCTTTCTACTTTCATCTCGTTTATTTTCCATTGCTCCCGCTTTTAAACGGTGCGGTCGTGCGTTATCTTCCAATATTCTTCGAGCGTAGATGCTTTGCACTAAGACAAGTACACGGTAAGTGTCTGTATTTTTTTCGCTAATAAAGTAGCGTA